ATATATATTTTTTTTTTTAAATTTACGTGTATATGTGTGTCTGTGTGGGGGTAATGTGAGTGCAAGTACCCTTGGAGACTGTCAGATCCCCTGGACTGGAGTTACGGGTGGTTGGAGCCACCCTGTGTGGGTGACAGAAACTGAACTCAAGTCCTTTTCAAGAGCAGTATGTACCGCGAACTTCTGAGCCATCTCTCCAGTCCCCTTAAGATACTTTTTAAGAATGTTATTACATTGTCCCCAGTGGTCTTGTTAGAAGGATTTTTTTTTTTTGATTTAATAAAGTTTTATTTTTCCAAATGTACAGTTGATTGAACCTATTTAGGCATCTTCACCAGCAGCTGGGGCATCGCCACCCTTTGTGTTTCTGGTGTAAATTACTTGGGCTCTGTGTTTTGAAACCCTTTACTAAGGAGCTCCTGAAGGGCTGCCCTGGCCAGGGAACCTCGAATCTTCAGTCTCTCAGAGACCACGGCTGGGGTAATAAGTTTATAGTTGGGAACTTCCTTACAGAGTTTGTCGTATGTAGCCTTGTCAAACAGGACCAGGTTGTTGAGCTTGTCCCGAACTTTGCCTTTGGACCACTTCTTCTTTTTGGCCTTGCCCCCCAGACTTGTTTACTGGGTCCTTGTCTTTCTTAGCCGATTTCCCGGCGTCCTTCTTCTTCTTGTCGTCCTTGGGCAGCATGGCGAAGCTCCGTACTCGTACTCTTTTAGATAAACTATTAGTCCATTTTCTGTTGCTGCAACTGAGTAACCCAACTGAGCATTTTATTTTATTTTATTTTATTTTATTTTTTATTTTTTTTAGACAAGGTCTCTGTGTAGCCCCAGCTGGCTTGGAACTCACAGAGATCTACCTGCCTCTCCCTCCCAAGTGCTAGAGCTAATGGTGTGTGGCACCATGCCCAGATCATTGTAGCTGATTTAAACTTTTTTCTAAATTGTCTAAAATTTCTGTCATTTTATTTTATTTTATTATTTTATTTTATTTTATTTTATTTTATTTTATTGGGTTTTTGAGATAGAATCTCACTCTATAGTCTAGACTGGCCTGGAACTCACTACTATCCTCCTGCCTCAGCCTTCTAAGTAGTAAGATTACTACCATGAGCCACCATACCTGACTTAAACTGAGTACTCTACAAATAATAAAGGTTTATTTGGGCTGGGGCTATAGCTAGTACTAGAGCATTTACTTATCACGCACAAGGCCCTGCATTCATTCCCCAGCACCACACATACACAAAAAAATAAAGGTTTATTTGACTCACAGTTCTAAAGGCTAGAAGGTCAAGGTCAGGCAACTTCATCCAGTGAGGATGTACTTGCCATTGGGGACTCTGTAGAGTCCCACAACAGCATGGGCCATCACAGAGCAAGACAGAATAAGTGTGTCAAACACAGTTCATGATGACAAGGCCATTTCCTTAATAATCCATAAGTAGATTAATTCATTTATGAGGGCCGAGTTCAGTCATGTTTCAAAGGTCCAACTTCTCAAATTTGGGGAACACATTCAAACGTTTGTAGATGGCAAAATAGGTATATCACATAGACTATCTGAATGGAACTCGGGCAGACTGAAGTTGGTTCTACAGTGATTTGTCTCCTGGGACCATGTGTTTATTTATTTATTTTTTTATTATTTTTATTTTATGTGTATGAGTGTATTGCCTGCATGTATGTGAGTGCACCCATGTCGTGCAATGCTGCGGAGGTCAGAACAGGGCTTTGGATTCCCCTGGAACTGGAGTTAAGGACGGTTCGTAGGTGGGTGCTGGGAATTGAACCTGGATCCTCTGCAAGAGCAGTCAATGTTCGTAGGTGGGTGCTGGGAATTGAACCTGGATCCTCTGCAAGAGCAGTCAATGTTCGTAGGTGGGTGCTGGGAATTGAACCTGGATCCTCTGCAAGAGCAGTCAGTGCTCTTAGCTACTGAGCTATCTCTCCAGCCCCTGGGACCATGTGTTTCCTACTTTGTTAGGAAAGTTATATTCACTCACAAGGATCAGCAGATATATTCCATTCCCCAGAGCTTACCCCCTAATTCTTCTGAACCTCAGTTTCCCTGTGTATGAAATGGAGACGGCAGTGTGTGCCCTCCAGTGGTCATGGAAGTTATGTGAAGAAGAGTACTTGACAGGTATCAATAAAACCCATGTTCGTGTAAACCATACTCATCACTGTATAGGAGAGGTACAGATGGCCAAGGCTGGCTTGGGTGTCACCAAATGAGTTCCCATCTCCAGACCAAGAGCTGTATCAGTACCTGAGTTGGCTTCTGCCCTTCTCAGACATGGGCCTCTAAAATTTATACAGCAATGGATACTCGTCTGCTCCCAAGATAGGATTGTGGCCTGCACATTCCCCAAGTGTGATTATTTCTTACCCTGCTGTCTCTCTACAGCTCTACTCTACAAGCCTGTGGACCGGGTGACAAGGAGCACACTAGTTCTGCACGTGAGTCGCATCCTCCCAAAGAGGCCTGGGTACTCTCCTGTCCTCAGCCCAGCTAGGCAGGGCCTCTTCACATGGGTCCTTTGGCTTCTCCTGTCTTTATCACCTGTGCCCAGCTCTTCCTCTGCCACATACCTTTTTATTGAGGATGCAGAAGTAAGGGAATCACCTGGAGGTTGCTGGAAGACAGAAACAGGATCTCCAGGTACTCCGCTGGGACAGACAGGGAGGAAGCATCCTGCTCCACATGGGCAGGAGCAAATGGAGAAACTGTAGCAGTGAAGTTTGAGCTGAGGCTCCATGGTAGATAGGCTGAGTTAGGGTCCAGTGGGCTGGTAAGGTGCCACAGGAGACTCACTGTCAGTGCCTTCCTCATACTGAGAAACAAAACCAGAAAATAAGAACATCTCTAGTCTTGCTGCCTTGGAGGCTCTGTGTGTGTGTGTGTGTGTGTGTGTGTGTGTGTGTATTTATATTTATATATTTATTTATAAGTTCCAGGTACATATTTTAGGAATTTTGTGACCCATTCACAAAAGCTTGTGATGCCTCCGTTTCTGTTCTTGCTCCCTTCCCACTGAAGAGCTTCCCACTAGAGGGCTTCCTCCATACAGACTAATGTGTATGAATATCTTCTTTAATTACTCAGAATGTCACACTTTAGTTTTTCCTTTTAATAGCATATTATGGAGATAATTGTTCCACTTTGGCCCATGCAGGTCTGCCTCATTCTTTTTTAAGCTACATAACATTCTGTTGTGCAGCAGGATCTTGCTCTATGACCTGGAACTCAGGGTCTCACTGCTTCAGTCTCCCAAAGACTGGGATTACAGGCATGTATTACCATGCTTAGCTTTTTAAATTCTTTTTGGAGTATTTGGATGGAGAGTCAAGCCCAGTAGCTACCTGGGAGGTTGAAGCAAGAGGACCAAGTAAACCCAAGAATTAAACATAGTAAGAAAGACCCTGTCAAAAAAAAATTTTTTTTTTGTTTCTTTTATTTTCCAGCTTGGTCTACATAGCAAGTTCTAAGCCAGGTAGGGCTTTATGAGACACTGTCTCAAAAAAAAAAAAAAAAAAATCAGAGAGAGGATGGAATGCATGGATGCTGTGCTCAGCTCGCTTTCTCACTCACACAGTTCAAGTCCCCTACTAGGGAATGGTGCCACCCACAGTAGATAGGTCTTTCCACCTAAATTAATGTCATCAAGATAATCCCCCACAGGTCAGCCAGATGATTCTAGATTGTGACATGATAACATAGTTCAGAGGTTCCACAGGGCAGCCCAGCCATTTGACTCTATGAGATGCTGCCATCTGCCCAGGGCTGTTGACTGACCCTGACATCAGATGCATGCCTGTCAAAGGATTATGGTAGGGAGAAGGCAAGCTGCCTGGGAGTGACGGGGGTAAGGAATGGGCCTGTCAACCAAGTGCCTTGCTGTGGCCTGTTCTTCTCTCTAGGTTCTGTGTACAGTTAGAATTGGGAGTCTAAGCTGGAGGGAGGGGGCTTGTTTCTTGACAGAAACAAAATGTTTTCCTAGTTAGAGGTTATCAATATTCCTGTTTGTGTACAGAGAAGGCTGAGGCTCTCCTCTGAAGGAAGGTGAGCCAGGAAGACAATGGGCTTTCACCCTTCCTTGTAAAGACCAGAAGTTCTGGGCCAGGACCACCTCTGCTCCTAAGAGGACCTGCATCAGTGTCCAAAGATGTATTTGGTTATGAGAAATGAAAATGAGGGAATGCTTCAGGCATCTAGTGTGTGCAAGGGCCAAGAGTAATGCTAACTATCCTGTGCCACACAGAACAGTCGCTGTTCCTCACTCCACTATGACAAAGAATTTATCTGGCCCTGAATGTTAATAATGCCAAGGGCTAGCTAGAAACCCTGCCCTAGATCCTTATAGTGGTAGCACCTCTTACCTAGGTTTGTTGGCATGCTGCTGATCTGTTTCTGGGATGGTGATCCCCCAGGTGCTTAGAGAGCAGTGGGCTGCATTGAGAGCAGTGGGCCTGCAGCTCTGAGCTATATTCAGTTTGTGGTTTGCACACAGTGCTCTGTGCCAGTCCTGTTCTAACTCTCGTCTTTTTGCCTGGAGCAGGACTTGCTGAAACATACTCCATCCAGCCACCCTGACCATTCCCTGCTGCAGGATGCCCTCCGCATCTCACAGAACTTCCTGTCTAGCATCAACGAGGAAATCACTCCCCGCCGACAGTCCATGACAGTGAAAAAGGGAGAGGTGAGCATGACTAATAGGGGACATGGGGCGTCCTCAGGCTCAACACAGAGCTACTCTCTGGTCCTTAGCAGATGGCTCGGCACAGCACGGGAAATATATTGCCCTTGGGGAATCTATGACCCTGGCAGGGTACAGTACAGTCATGTGTGCAGGGCATCAGGGTGAAGTCACAGAGATGACCTTGCACTTTCCATGTCCACATCAGCCCCTATCACTATCCCTCACTCAGCCATATCTGTCTTTTTCTGCTTCCGTTGAGTTATAACTGAAGAGTTCCTCGTTGTTTCCCTCATACTCAGCAGCTCAGGGTCCCTACCTGAAGTCAGCAGGGGGATGGCAGTGTTGGCCTGGATTCTGCCTGCTCCCTTCTTTCTGGTATTCTTTCCCTGGAAAACTGTTAACACTGATTTAAGAATTTAAATAGGATGACAAAGAGAAGGATCCACAGTATTTATTGGAGACATGAGACTGGCTGAAGAGGTTGATGTCACCCACCCGAAAGCTTCTCCTCCCTTCTCTGGAAGCCACTCATGGCCATTCTACATGTCGTCAGTAAGCAGGCCTTGGCTCTGCCCTTGCCACTTCTGACCCCTCCAAGGAGGAGCCCAGAACACTGCTAGGCAGGTACCTTATCAATTGGACAATATCTGGTGAGGACAGCAGAGGTATAGGACAAGGAGCTAGTGTCCAACATGTGCATCCTTTGTCAGCAGTGCTCTCAAAGTTAGGGAAACTAACCTACAACCTCCGGGGTCTTGTGCAGGAACAGGAGCTGTTAGGCCCACATAGGAAACAGGAAGGGCATGACGCTAACTGTAGCCACCTCTGAGAACCACCTCTTCCTCTTCTGGCTGATGCTCAAGGTGCTTGGTGACGGCAAGTGGTAACCTGCCCAGCACATTGGGTTTCTTTTCTCACCTCCTACACCGTAGTGACAAACAGGCTGTTGTTCTTGGCCCTTGTCCTTTGCACAGTCTTCTGGGAAGAGGTGCCCTGCATGTTGAGCTGAAGGTACTTATGTACCCATATTCTAATTAGACTTCACTATGAACCAGGGGCCTGGTCACATTTCTCCTGGTAGGCCTGGCCTAGGAAATGCTGGGGACTGTCCTTTCAGTTCCACTCACCAGACTTGTCCAGGCTCTGGAAGGAAGTTGTCTTGGACTCCATCCCAGGATTATGAGGACTACTCCCCGGCAGCCCAGCACTTCTCTCCTCTGGATCTTTTCTTTGTCTTTGTAATAGGATGGGAGCATCTCCTTGGGTACCTGGGCTGGTCCTCAAAGGGGTGTGATTTGTGGGAAAGAGCAGCAAATGGCAACACTCTTGGCCCACCGTGTCAGCTTCTCAGTTATCATTAAGGCCTCTGAAAGGGAAGTGAGACCCTAACAACCCCTGGGGAAGGATGTTGAGTGCAGCAGAGGTTCCCACTTGGTTGTTCAGTGTCTATCCCTAGGGGACATGGGAAGCAAGTCTCATCTTGAACAACAGTGGGCCTCGTGCCTGGTTTTCACTTAAGGCCATTTAAAGTGAGCAAAGCCTGTGGCCACCCCATCAGCAGTCCACTATATCTAATTGGATGTTGTATCTGTGTCTGCTAAGAGCTCACGTACTGGTTGGGTACCTGCTGGCTTCACCAATCCTCCCTGGTACTTCCACTCTTTTTCTTCTGTCAACTGTTCCTTTATGAGAACGTTGGCCTCTGGAGAAGCAAATGCATAAACCCTTTTTCCTTTGACCCTCAATATGGGGCCAAGTCTGCTCCCATATCCCTGCCTGCTGTTTAGGATCCCTTAAGAGAAATAATTAAGATCGTTTAAATTGGCTGCCTTAGGGCATTGAGGAAGATGAGATGCCACCTGAGAATTGGCAGCTAAGCCACTGTTCCTGCATGTGTCCACAGACCTGGTTCTGGGTGGTCACAGCCAGAGTCTCAAGGTAACTGATTAGGAAGTGTTAAGGGTCAGAGTGCTTTATGAGGATGGGGGACTATCTGTATTCTTTCTAGCACTAGAAGGACATTTACTCATTGAGGACGGGTCGTTTGGAGGTACACAACTGCCAAAGGGAAAGAGGACTCTGAAAGTTGCAGTTCTTTCTTATACCCTTCATCAGGGGCAGACATTGCTAAGCACTCATATTCTGAGCTCCTGAGTGTCCTCCTCGGTGTCCTCCTAAGTATGCAGTACTTAATACAGTAGAAACGTCCGATCCCGCTTTGATCCTTGCTGATTGTAATACTGATTTGGGACCACTCCTTTTCTTCCTTGGGCATCTATGCTCAGGGACAGTGGGCCCTCCACTGAGTTATTGTGAAGCTGAAAGTATTTCAGGATTTTTCATATAGACCGTGTGAAACTGAGAGGTGCAAACAGGTAGGTGCCCTCTGTGTAGGAGGTGTTGCAGGGTACCCTTTATATCACTAGCCAGGAAAGAATTTGTAGGCCTCCTAGAGGTAGAATGAGAGCTTCATGTTTTTTTCCAATTTGAATTTGCAACTGGGGAGGATCTGCACTTTGGAAATACCCATTTTTGCCAAACATGGTGGCTCATACCTATAACCCCGATATTCAGGAGGTGGAGGCAGGAGGATAAAGAATCCAAGGCCAGCCTCAACTATATAACGTACTCAGGGCCAACCTGTACTACACTAGACCCTGTCTCAAAAACAGAAGAAAAGAAAAGAAAAACTCTCATTACCCTTTTTACCCTTTGTACTCATCACTCACTTGTGGGTATGTGAGATTGAGTAGCAAGTTCCCAAAGGGAGAAAGAATCTGTGCCTCTGAGTTGTCATGACTCCGTAGGGTCTGGAGCCTTCTCCTTTTTATAGGTGAGGTAGATGGAGTCACAGGGAGGTGAATGTAACTTTTAGCTTGGTGTCTTGCAAGTCTTAGGCACTGGTTAGAGCCACATCCTTTGCTGCTTCTGGTGGGAGCAGATCAAGGTAGAGCTGGACTCTCTTTCTAGCTTCCCTGACAGTTTCATTAAGAGAGGTAGCCCCGGAGCTGGAGAGATGGCTCAGCAGTTAAGCACACTGACTGCTCTTGCAGAGGACCGGAGTTCGATTCCCAGCACCCACATGGCAGCTGCGAACCGTCCTAACTCCAGTTCCAGGAGAATCTGAAGCCCTCTTTCTGACCTGTGTGGCATTGCACAACACAGGTGCACTCATACATGTAGGCTCGTATACATAAAATAAAAATAATAAATAAGGGGCTGGAGAGAGAGCTCAGAGGTTAAGAGCACTGATTGCTCTTGCAGAGGACCTGGGTTCAATTCCCGGCACCCACATGGTGGCTGCAAACCGTCCTTTATTCCAGTTCCAGGGGAATCTGAAGCCCTCTTCTGACCTCTTTGGGCATTGCATGGCACGGGTACACTCACATACATGCAGGCAATACACTCATACACATAAAATAAAAATAATAAAATATTTTTAAAAAATTTTTTTAAATAAAAAAAAAAAAAAGAGGTAGCCCAGGTCATCCTGGATGAGTCAGCGCACTGTAGAGAGACCCAGGTGTGAGCCCTGGTCAGGACTACCAGCCCTACACCTGACCTCCCAGTGAGGTTTCTGTTTCTTTATGCCTTTCAGCCAAGTCCCCTGACTCTAGAGCGGGCCCTTTTTGGAAGTGTCTGGGCAGCATTACAGGTAGCTTCCTGACTGAGTAGTGGCCAGCAGCTGCCCTGGCAGACCACATGCTGGCCCCAGCATACCAGGAGCTGTGAGGAGCAGGAACTGCCCTGAGGGGGGCACCCTTCCCAGCTTCTGGATCAAAGGATCTTGCAGGGAGTTTCCCTGCTAAGCCCTAGTCCTGCAGGCTAGTGGGTGGGTGCTCACTTGTTTAGCTGAATTAACTTCACAGTTAGATAACTAGATTCCTGCTGCTGGGTAATTTCCTCCAAGTGGTTGTTGCCTGTCTGTCTGCTTCAAGCTCTGCACTATGCGCTGCTAGAGCTTGCAAGAGTGTGGGATGATCCCAGTTCCATGCCTGGGATCTTAGAGGCCCCTGCCTGTGGAGAGGGGTAGGCAGTAGGTTCTGAAGAGATGCTGTAGGAAAGCCAGGGGAATAGCACTAGTGAAGGCTGTCTGAGAGGCACTGAGACTCAGGCAGAAGAGAACATAGGCCTTCCTGCTGGTGAGTAAAAAGAGTTGGGGACTGGGAATGTTATCTCTGTGGTAGAGTACTTGCCTACCATGTTTAAAACACCAGGTTCCATCTCAGTACCCCACCACACACGTACACAGGAAGAGCCAAATAACTACTGTTAGAGAAGTCAAACCTTCTTAGCAAAGCTTGCAAGTGGTGTTTTGGAGAGGGTGGTGGGCAGAGGTGGGAGAAGGGTGAGGTCCCAAACTGCCAAGCACAAAGCAGATAGTGTTTGTCTGAGTACCTCTTTGCTTAACTTCATGATGAGTGGGCCTAGACTGTACAAAGTCCACAGTCAGAGCAGGGGGCTTGGAACTATAGATGTAGCTCAATAGTAGAGTGCTTGAAATGCCCTGGATTCAGTCCTCAGCTCTCCCCAACAAATAAAGCAAGAGATGGAGTGCAAATGAGCTCTGCCTTCTAGGTCCCTGGTAAAAGCACAAAGCGCAGCAAGGACCACAAGCAGCAGTACATAAGACTGAGAAGCTGTGTAGCCAAGGCAAATGCAATGACAAGGTTAGGCGCTTCCTTCATCTTTCATAAACATTTGCCAACAGAGCTTGCCTTCTTAGCTTGCTGGAACCAGGGTTCTAATTCGTTACAGTAATGCAGGCACATTATTCACCTCCCATCCTGCCTTTCTGCATGAAGTAGTAGAGCTGGAACCTGCCACATAAGATGTTCTACAAGGTGCTTGAGATGCTTTGTGGGACACTGTCTCCTCACAGGACCTCACACCTAGTAAATAGTGCTCAGCAATGTTGCCAGCTTGCTATTGCTGTAAATCAGCATCATGGATCCCAGGCCCTACCCCTGAGAAGGGTATCATATCTTGTGATATTCTTT